GACAGGGTCTCACTATGTAGTTGAGTCTGACCTGGAACTCACTATGTAGTCCAGGCTGGTCTCAAACTCACAGCGATCCTCCTGCCTCAGCCTCCCGAGTGCTGGGATTACAGGCGTGCGCCACCACGCCCAGCCCAAAGACTGATTTCTTAAACTTTAGTTCACCCCCTCACCCCCTAGTTCTAAGGATTGAACCTAGGGCCTTTGTACTGAGCTACAACCCCAGCCCTTTTTAATTTTGAAACAGGGTCTGAGTTGCTGAGTTGCCCAGATGGGACTCAAACTAGGAATCTTCCTGCCTCCACCTCCCAGAGTGCTGGGAGTAAGTAACTCTTAGTAGCCCAAATGCAGCATACATGTGTTAGATAAAAATAAACAGATAAAATATTCTAAATAGATTGCATGTCTTAGGCACTTTCCTCATCGTTGAGACACAATACCTGACACAACTTAAAGGAATGATTTAGTTTGACTTACAGTTTTTAGAGGGTTCAGTCCATAATCCGCTCGCTGCAAGGCAGGAGGCATGGTGGAAGGGTCTGATAGAGGAAAAACTTCTATCCTGGTGATCTGGAAGCAGACACACCCTTAAGGGTCATGCCCCCTAGTGGCCGGCCTCCTAAAAGCACATTCAGCTGCTGAGCTCATCAGTGGACTCTGAAGAGCGTAGCACTCACATGATCCATTCACCTTGCAAAAACCCTTCATCTGAGTATGAGAGTTTTGGGGGACATTCTAGATCTAAACTATAACTCATGCGTTTTGAAACTAAATTTATCAAAGTTTAACCCGTTTAATCTTCACTGTAAATATCAGTAGCAGAAGAATGAGCTGTTTAGAGTAGAACTATGTATTTCTACACTACATTACCCCCAGGGTCATATTTTTTAGGTTCTGAAAATAAATTTTATAAAAATATTTATTACCTTTGCCATCTCACTACTGCCAATTATTTTTTGGTGCCCCTGATATTTTTTTACGAGTGCTTTCCACAAGTTTTTTACTAAGTTGGACAGCTGACATAAACTGTATTACTAAGATTTGTGGGAGGTACTGGGGATTGAACTCAAGTCCTTGCGCTTGCAAGGCAGGCAGTGGAACCACTGAGCTAAATCCCCAGCCCTGTTGTTCTAAGATGTTTATAAAAACATTTTAGTTTGCAAGTCAGAAACTGAGGGTTCATTTTAAAGAAATCTGCATTGGTTTTCCTACAGATAATTTGACTCTTTTAGTCTTTCCTGTCCTGGTTGTTGAGATTATCAGATGTCTGGTATTATATTGTGTGTGTGGTGGGGACACTAGAGGATAATACATATTAAAATAGTAATATTTTAGCCACAGTTAGAATTTCCTCTGGCCAAGGGGATTTCCAAAAACATTAAATGGATTGTTTTTAAGGTGAATGACAGATATGATTTTTTACTGTAAAACAGTGGGTTAATTTTTAAAATATATTGCTTAAAATACATCCCCTTGCCGGGCGTGGTTGTGCATGCCTATAATCCCAGCATTGGGAGGCTAATGCAGGAGGATCACTGTGAGTTCAAGACCAGCCTGAGCTGCTTAGTGAGTTCCAGATCAGTCTCAACTATATAGTGAGACCCTATCTCAAAAAAAACCATAAATAAATAAATAAATCCCCTTTACTTTAACAGAAATAATAGTTTCTACAAACTATTGTTTTGAAATTTTTAACTGTCCATAATTTCTATTGCACAATCCCAGATTCTTATAAATATGAATGAAATTGTGTCAATAATATTTGAAGTTAATAAGTGAGCCTGTATTGTTTTGAAATATATTTTGTTTTGTTTTGAAATATTTTGGTCTTCTGTTGACCTCAGTTTTGAGTATTAGAAAATAGAACCAGTTCTATTCATACCAAGCCAACTCATTTTTTTCTTTTATTGTCTTCTAGGACCCAACAGTAGTGATTGGCTCAGGTTTAACAATGGAAGAAATGATTTTTGAAGTGGCTGATACACATCTATTTTTCAATGACTTAGAGGTAAGCATCTTAAATTGTTTTTGTGATTCAGTGAGATGTTCTACTCAATGTTTGGAGCCCGTGCTTAAATAGAAGATACCTGGTAGACAGGGTAAGGATAGAGAATTCCATTAACAAGGAAGGTAAGGAAGGACGGGCTGGCAGCCACAGGCATACATAGCCTCTTAGAGGAATAGTGACATGGTTGGGTCACCAGTCTTGGTCTGGTGTGTTTTTTTGTTTTTTGTTTTTGGGGTTTTTTTTTGGGGGGGGTCCTCAATTTTGCTGGCTCAAGAATTTTACTCCTTTATTTATTTATTTTTGGTACAGGGGATTGAACTCAGGTCCTTGCGCTTATAAGGCACGCGGTAGAACTGCTGAGCTAAATCCCCGGCCCAAAGATTTTATTTTTGTTAATTTATTTGTAAGTGATATAGTATTAGGGAAAATGCTAACACATCAGGCAAAATACTGATATTTAAACCAATATCCCAATTTGTTAACCAATACTACATATATATTGAGTTGATTAGTATGTAATGATAATGCCTTTGATTATTTGTACTCTCAATTATATTTTGACCTTGAGTTTTACTACTTTAAAAGTCTCTTGATTTGTCTAATCTGTAAATGCTTGCTCTTACTCATGTATTTTTATATATATTTACTATCCATGCATATGTTAAGTTTGCTATACAGAATTTTATAGATAGGCACCAGGTAAACCAGGACACACTAAGAGCTTTGTGGGAAAAGTTTTTGGCTTTGACATTTGAGTTCACCTCCAAGGTAAATGTGATATAGCAGGAAGAGCACAGGACCCTGAATCCAAAGACAAGAGGATGAGTGTCAGGGTGGGAAAGTTTATGTCAAGTTAAGCTCGGTTACAAAAGAAACAACTAATAGTTGTTCTGGGGGCATGAGCTGCTGGGAAACAGCAGAGAGCGCAGACTTTTCATTTTGTGCGTTTAAATTCTGAACTGTCCTGTACAAAATTCTGTTTCCATCTCCTCCCCTCTCTTCCCCCTCTCCTCTCCTCTGTTTCCTCATCTCATTGTACTACTGGGGATTACAGCTAGGCCCTTACACCTTGTAGGCAAGCATTCTACCACTGAACTATATCCTCAGCCCTTTTTATTTTGAGACAGGCTCTCACTGAGTTCCTGAGGCTAGCCTCAAACTTCATCCTCCTGCCTCAGCCTTCTAAGTAGCTGTTGTTTCTGTTTGAATACAGTCTAATACTCAACAGACAGTTCTCCAACAAATGAAATTAATGTGACTCTAAACTCCAATTCTAGATCACATGTTGATAAATTAGGGCACCATAGCTTTTATTCAGCAAACAGTTATTGAAAACGTACTGTGTACCGATAATTATTGCCAAATTGTATTTGTAATGATTTTCTAGACATAGTCCTCACTCAGGACTGAAAGTTCTGTGAAGAATTTGACCTGAATATGTTCCTGTCCCCCAGGTCAGTGGTTCTCAACTTTAGGGGGCATAAGAATCACCTGGGGAGCTTCTTAAAAATGGAGATTCTAGGACTTCAGTCCCAGAAATTCTGATTCTAATAGGTCTGGAATGGACTCAAGAATATGCATTTTTAAAAAACTCCCCCAGGGGATTCTGATGCAGGTACCCTAGTGGTGTCACTCAGGCTAGACAATGGGAGTGGCATTTATGTCAGTAATAGCATGGGTTGGTGGAAGGAACCTTGGATTAGATGAAGCAGATCTAGCTTCTTTCTAGTCTCTTTCTATCATTCACTAGTTGTATATGATCCTAAAAATATTATTTCACCTCCCTTTTAGAACATGAGATTGATTTAGATGACCCCTTATGTCTATTTAAATTTATCAGTTTGTCATTCTCAGTTTTGATACCATATTCTCCCAAATCTATTTCTACTACAAAAATTAATTGGGCACCTGCTATATTAAGACACTGGACTAGATTAGAAGGTGTAGAGGAGATATGTTTGTCTTGCCCCACAGGCCTTCAGTATAATAGTATTTATAGTCAAGTGTAGGACACAGACACACATGACAGGGTAAGAGAAGTTGTGCTTATCCCCTTGAGCTGGAGAAATAAACCGCTGAGATAAGAGCAGAACTGAGGGATGGAATAGTCAAGGAAGGTTTCATGAAGACTGGGATGTATATCAGACTTCAAGGGAGTTTCACAAGAAGGGGACAAAAGTGAGTGTCCTCCACACATAAGATACTTCATCATCTTGTATATAATCATCTCATGGTAGTCGTGGCAGTAAAAGCATTTTTACTCTCAGGCTGAAAGAGTGTGTTTTGTTTTTTAACAGGAATGTGACCAGGTACATGTGGAAGATGTGGCTTCAGATGACAATGGCCAAGATTTGAGGTGATAAACACAATGATGTTTGAGTATCAGTACACCTGTTATGTGCAAGATACATGTATAAGAAGCAGTTTGTAATGCACTCTGAATCCCAGTTTTTGTGGCTATTTTGTTTCTCTTATACATGTAGCTAAGCCAGTTACCTATTTTACTTCTTAGCAGCTTTATTTTCTTATGGAATCTCTTATGTAATGCATTGAACTCTTTTTGACTTTGGATTGAACCAAGTTGTCTTTAATTAAATCTGTATTTATCAAGTATTAATCCTTCCCAGTTTATATAGCTGTATGTTATACGCTGTATGACATACTATCCCCATTAGTAGCTTTAAAAAGTTAAATATTTATCATCTCACAGTTTCTATAGGTCAGGAATTTGAAAGCCACTTAGGTAGGGAGCTCTTAATCTGGGTCACCAGGGTGAGATCAAGGTGTTGTCTAGACCTCACTTTGTGTCCCTCTCCGCAGGGAAGCTTGAATATGCTTACATGACAGCTGGCTTCTTCAAGAACAAGTACTCCAAGAGCAAGCAAAAACAAAACAAAACCTATCTCTAAAGTTGAATACTGTCACTTGCACTACATTCTGTTTATATTCTAGTTATAGCCCATTCCCAAGAGGAGCAGAATTAGAAGAGCTTCAGAAATTTGTGGACATTTTGAAGCCAGTACTTATCAGCCACCCATAAGTTTAAAAATTAGCCAACAGATCACTGAAGAAAAACATCTACCATTGTCTCCTCATTATTAACGTTTTGGGTTATTTCCCTCTATTGTTTTTGTCTCCTTTTTTAATATAATTATAACATTAGCATAGTTGTAGTCATCAGTTTTATGTTCTGCTTTTTTTCCTACTCTATGGTATTCTCTGTTCTCTGCATTAATGAAAAAAGTACTTTGTCCCAAGTCAACCTCTACAGAATACTGGTGCTTGAATTATTTCTACCTCACATTCCCTTCTTCCCAATCTTTTTTTTTTTCTTTCTCTCTCCCTGACCTTCCCCGATCTAGGAGAATTGAACCTAAGACTATACGTACTAAGTACAAGCTCTACTGCTGAGCTACACCTTCTGCCCCTCAGTCCTTTCTTTGATGGAAGTAATAGGGGTAAGACAGACACCTAAGACAGACTGAAAAAAAAAAAAAAAAAAAAAAGACCTGGAACTCACAGTCCTCCCTGTCTCAACCTCTGCTGTCTTGGGAATGCAGGCATGTGCTGTCACATCCACCTTCACAAGATTTTTAAATCATTAGCTTTATCAGATACCAAGAATAGAACAAGAGAATCCCAGGTAGCACTTAGAAACCGCATGACATACAGATTTTAATTTGCATTATCCTCCTTGTTGCAGCAACTATAGTTTCTCAACAGATGGTTTCAGTGGTTCTGGCGGTGGCGGTAGCCATGGCTCTTCGGTGGGTGTCCAGGGCGGTGTGGACTGGATGAGGAAACTGGCTTTCCGTTACCGGAAAGTGAGAGAGATCTACGATAAGCATAAGAGCAATGTGGGTGGTAAGTGTGGCACACAACCAGCCTGAGTCTCTCTTCCTGATTGCCTGCTTTCCTTTGCAAGGAGTCCTAGATTCCCCCTGGCCACAGTGAATATGTTAACTCTGTATAAAAAAAAAAAATGGAGGTCTAACTGAAACCCTCTGAGGTGGAATCTTGGCACTTTCAGTGCACTTTAAAATAAATAGAAAATAGAGAAAGTTCTGCATTTCTAATTTTTTTAGCATAACTTTAGAGAATTATCTTGTTCTCTTTAAAACAGATGCCTTTTTATTTTTATTTTTTAAAAATTTTTTGGTTTTTTGAGACAGGGTCTCACTATATAGTTGAGACTGACCTGGAACTCACTGTGTAGCCCAGGCTGGTCTCGAAGTCACAGGGATCCTCCTGCCTCAGCCTCCCACGTGCTGGAATTACAGGCGTGCGCCACCATGACAGATGCCTTTTTAAAGGAAATGTGTTCTATAGATTGTTAGATAAAATGTTTTTTATTCCTAAATTACAACTGTCAATAGTAGTTAATAGGATGCCACATTTTGGTGCCTGATTCTTGTACCATCAGTACAAATCAAGTAGAACTGGTTACTTCATTTGTAGTAGATGGAAAACTCAGTCCAGGATTATAGACTGAATATCCATATGTTATAATATGAAAGACCTTAGAAATTCTTCCTGCTCAGAAATATATCAAATGTCAGGTATGCATCAAATTCCATTCTTTGAAATTGATTAATCCTAACTATTCAAATGAGAAGAGACATTGGAGAGCTGATCTAAATACTTCATTGCATAAATTAATATCTGTCATATAGGAGAGGGGTCATTTTACCCACTGTCACATAGCATGTGAGTAGCTGTGCCACATCTCCTGATTTTTGGTCCAGTGTACTTTACTTTCATTCATTTCTTTTTTTTTTCTTCTTTTTTTGAGAAAATACTTAAAACTGAACCATCACCCTCAAAGAAACACATACACACAAATGCTGCCTGAGGTCTCAGGCATTGTTAGAGATTCACTCCTCCGGGTCAAGCGCCTTTGGATTACACCATGTTGCCTTAAAGTATGGTGCAGAAAGTAGAAACGGGCTTTGAAGTTCAGTCTTGTTCAGTCTTGTTTGAGCCTCTAATACCAGATAAACATCGTGGCCTTTCAGATTTTGGGAATCTAATTTACTTTTTTCAGATTCCTCTTTTCATTGCCAGTACTTTTTATTTTTTATTTCCAAGTCTTTACTTTTTTTCCTCTCACAGATATTGGCCTTTCTTTTGTTAGTTTTCATATATAAGCTACGTCTGTGATCCTTTCCCTGCCTAGTGCCTACACCTAGCTTTCTGAAGAAAATGATGTAACCCTTTCTGTGTCTTCTAAGCCTGCTCTGGGGAAAAGATTAAAAATGATGTCTGTCTGTATGTTCTGTACAGCATAAAGTAACAAAAGTACCACATCATATATTAATTAAGTATATGGTACTGGTTTTGATTTTTTTTTAATCCAAAATGTTAAATAAAAGAGTCACCTGATTCTAGGCTTATATTGTGAAACTGTAAACTTGAATTATATACCCAGTGTCTTCCTTACAGAAGTGCCTTCGATTTTTATGGAGTATTAATACAGGACTTTACAAAAAACAAACAAACAAACAAACAAAACTTTCACTACAGAAAAATTCAGAGCCAGACTTAATATTTGAATATTAGAACTCAAGTGTCTGACAACATGGTCCCATCGTATGACTTCTGTTTTGTGCTTAGTCATCTAGTTTTAGACAGTGTTTTATAGTCTCTTTTTCAGTTGGAGTCATTTTATAAGTACAGTGCAAAGAATTGGTCCTTCGACCTGGAGTCTTGACTAACAGGTTCTGAAGCAGCTGGAAGGAAGTGCAATCACCACAGACTTACATGTGGTGGTAGAAAGAATTCCTAAGACCACAATCTCCTGACTTACTTCATAATGTTAGACAAGCCCTCTTTTCACCCTAGGCTTTGATTTCTTTAGAAAGGGAGTAGAAATGCTGAGAACTCTTTTAGCTCTATCACTCATTTCTCCCCCCTTGATTCTTAAAGCAGTGCTAGTCAAAGTGGACCTTGAGTTTGCAGTTTGGTGATGAAAGCAGCTTGTACCAGCACCCAAGTATACTGTTTCTACTGGCTGATCTTTTGATTTTTTTCTTGTGGTCCTGGACATTGAACCCAGGCTTTGCTCATGCTAGGCAAGTTCCCAACCACTGCTCTACATTTTATTTCATTTTGAGACAGGATTGTACTGTGTTGTCCAGGCTGGCCTCAAACTTGCAATCCTCCTGTCTCAGCCTTCTGAGTAGCTAGGGTTATGCATGTGCCACCATAGCTGGCTAAGAGCTGATCTTGTTGCTGTGACTGTCTTCCCATGGCAAAACATTTTGATGAAGAAAGTAAAAATAAAGGCCAGTGGCAACATGCCTGCCTTGGCAAACGCAAGGTCGTAAGTTCGATCCCTGGTACCGGGGAAAAAAAAAAGAAAGTAAAAATAGTATTTTGAGTTGCATTACTATAAGATTTTTCCAAGAAGAGAAATGTATTGCTCAAGGACAGAGTATTTCTAAATTGAATTTATAAGTTGCTTTATCAGTCTTAGCAGTTGTCAATGATGAATATGTCTGCTTTTATTCCTAAAGGCCTCCTCAGTCCCCAGAGAAAAGAAGCACTGCAGAGATTAAGAGCAGAAATTGAAGTTTTAACAGATTCTTGGCTAGGAACTGCATTAAAATCCTTACTTCTGATCCAATCCAGGTATGGAAATGATTCTTTTTAGTTCTCCTCCTCTCAGAAACACACTTTCCTAGCCAGTCCAAACTAGACATTTCTCTAAAAATAAAGCTTGGGATAGAGGCAAGAGGTGTTTAAATGATTCAGGAACGTGTGTAGGTGAAAAGCAAGGTCAGTTTATGATAACAGCACCCATGAAAGTTTTAAAAGACTATACCTGAAACCCTCTCTCTTTCCCTTTACTTCTTGCTCACAAACTAAAATTTAATCCAGGAGATGGAGAATCAAAGAATACAAGTAGGACACATATCACAAATATCCTAAGTTAAAAGAAGCCCCAAGAAATCTACCCCAACACATTCAAGAAGGGAAAATTAAAAAGAGAAAGGGTACATTAAGCAGATTAAGGAGATTTCAGTTTAAAGCTTAGACTGAGAAATAAATGCAATTGTGTCTGTATCAGTACCCTGTTCTTCCTCCCTCAAAGCAAGTATCCCAGATCCATAGCCTAGTAACCAGTAAAACTGACACTGAGCGGTGAATCTTGTGGAATTACTGGGTATTCTGCAATCTCAGATGCTGTTATGTAAACATCAGAACGTAAGTCCTATTTCATTTATAGGCTGAATTACATTCATATCAAATAGAACAGTAATTGAGAGCTATTACTTGTTTTCTTTTCTTTCTTTCTTTCTTTCTTTTTTTTTTTTTTTTTTTTTTTTTTTTTTTTTTT